AGTAATATACAAGTATATATTGCCTGTGCTTTGTCGCAAATTTTTCAATCTACTAACCTATTTTCTTTCAAGGTTCCCACTAAAAATGAAATAATAATTTTCCCAATGTTAATCAAAGAAACTGACTTCACTGCTCATTAGAATTCTACATATACAGAATAATTCTAAACACACAACATTTTAAATAAAATAAGTGTTCACATTACTGAACAAAACCGACTCAATTTTGTAGTAACCACAGAATCCCTATGTGAATTAATGAGTATAAATCTCTAACAAGCTCAAAAGTAGTTTTCTTCATACCTAGACAGAGATATGTGAGAAACATGGTCAGAAAACATAAAACTAGACTGAAATGTATATAACAGTAATAATAATAATAATTACCTGTAACATTATAACACAAATATAATTCTGAAATATGGATGGATCACAGTTAATATGAAAGGTTACAAGAAATCATAATAATAAAAAATGTAATTTCACATTCAATGTACAAAATAACCTTTATACTGCAACTTCTGAAGACAATAATGGAGATGGAAGTTGATGAAGTATATACAATATATATACTGTATAATATATATGTGTGTATGTGTGCTTGAGTTGAAAAAATGTAAACACATAATCATACACACATATATATGTGAAACCATATGCTTGTACACATATACATGCATACCCATGTACAAATATGTGCACAATAAACAAACACATATATACATATACACAGGCACATGTCCACAAACTCATACATACACACACATATCCACCAACAAATTCAAATACTTACACACACACACACACACACACAAAAAAAAAAAATAATAATAATAATGATTGTTCACTTATTCATTCAGTCATTCACTACATTAAATGCTCTCTCCCACAAATTCATTTACATACACAAACTCAGTTATTCCCTTACTAAATTAAGACAATTCATTCAGTCACTTCCACAATTAAAATAGACACCATTCGTTCATTTACACAATTAAAACAAAGTTTTCAACATTGTTCTTCCAATGTGTCCTTATCAAAGTCTTTGGATTGTAGAGTAACATCACATACATTTAAGACCAAATATTCTGGTCTACTGATGCAAATCTGCACACTTTACATTGATTATGACCAGTTTCACTGTGCCTGAGACTTATTATAAGCATTAATAGTAATATCATCGACGGAGTTGATGGAATATCCAGTGATGGAGTCTGGGCTCTGGAGGGAAGCGGAGTATAAGGGATTAACTGGAGTCTGGCCATCACTCCCAACCTCTTCTGACAGGCTGCTGTATGGAGCACTTCCAGACTGGAAAAGACACACACATTAAGAACAGTACAGTATCGTTTGAAATATAAGCTAAAAGTTTGAATACCTTCTCTGTGTCATGCTATGTTGATGAAATATCTGTAGGTACAAGCATCTGCTCTATATATTTAGTTCACTCTTCATTATTCTAATTCATGCATTAATCTGAAACAGATTTGAATTTCCCTTTTTGGAATTGTAGGTCATTACATGAAAACTACAATTTACAAAAATTCTATCATAAAACAGATCAGCACTGAATTTATACCTGGTAAATATTTTGCTGTGGAAACTCAGCACCTGGAAGAGGCAGGGAACTGGTGTCCTCATCGTCTTCAGACTTATATGAGAAAACAATGTTCTCAACTTGCTCCCGACTTTTCTGACTAAAGTAGAAGGAACAAATTACAATGCATCCTTATCCATTATTTTCTTGAGAATACACTGAAAAAGTTCATAAAAAAACAAAAAAAAAAAAACTCATCTGAAACAAGTTGCATCATATGTTTAACCCAACATCCCTTTTGGTATCTAAGGTGGGGACCATGTCAGATAACATACGAAATACATACACACTTTGGTACAATCTTACATTTAATGCCTCCCTAAAATTAACCTAATGCCACAGAAATGGTCAACAGAGGACACATGGACTGAGCTAAAATTAGGCAACTATTATGTGATGTGGACTGATCTTAATTGGTATTAGTTGTATATTGTGGATTAACTGACCTGACCTAATATGGACTAACCTGATTAGCTGAAAAAGTGAATCAAGTCAATCTCAGCAATAGCTTTTTTTCTCACTGTAAGCCAGACCTCTGGTTGCTCAACATGTCCACCAGTATTTTGGCAAATTCTCATGATCATCCAGGTATTCTCCAACCATGCATTCTCTACAGTTTCACAAAAATCATGAAAATCCATGGGCATATGCTTCCTCTCAATCTGGGAAAGCTGTTGCCATTGCCACAATTCCAAAAACAAGAGGAAAGAAATGCAATAAAGTATGTACAATATGACACTGGCCTGTGTCCTGGGGACTATTTCGACTCCTTCCTTTGTCAGAAAGCCAGAGGCACAGTGCAGCTGCATCTACATTTTGTATATATGTATACATATTTTTTGTATGTCTGTTTTTTTTTCTTCATATTTTATAAATAAAAGGGTTATTCATAATCCATGCTTTTCTTCTCCAGATTTCAATTACAACTCAGAAAGACAATAGTTGCCAGTCCACAAAACCAACACTAGGGCTCTCAGATGTTTTGCAAATACAAAGGTGGATATTCTTCTATTCCTCACTTTACAATCAACATCTTTTTTGTCGAATCTTATTAAGAATAAAGCACTTATAAGCTGTGCACAAGAGTTGTGCAGATCTCATGCACTTCCTGAAATCCATTTAATTAAAGGCACACAGTATGACCTAGAATGCTTGGTTGCCAGTGTCTGAAACACCCTGAAAATTCGGATTAAATAAACAAAATTTTAATAATTTCTTGGCAAACTTTTTACCCATATTATAACAATTAGTGTGAAATAAATAAGAAAGGAGATGAAGAAACAATATAGCATGCTTTACCCCAAGTATGATCAATCCCTATTCTGGAAGAGTACTTAGTTACTTAGTTTCAGCTTGGCAGGATCTGTAAAACTACTTATTCCTTCAAAGACAGATAATAATCTAGAATTTTCACAAAAGGGAACAGGGGATGGCACCCTAGGAAACTCTTATTCCTTGTATTCCTGTGCTTTTCCCCTAAGATCCAGATGACAAGACCATCTTGCCCTGAAAAAAATTGGCTCGAGGGGAAGGTGACATGAACATGTCATCATGGGAAAATCCAGCTGTGGGCCAGGGTGACGCAAACTTGTCATGAGCATTTCAGCTTAACCCCTTGCCGCCGGGTGACGGCGATACGCGTGTAAACAAATCGCTCGAAAGGTGGCGTGCGGCCAAACCAGCCGGCGGCGCGCCAAAGCGCGGCAAGCCAGTGATTCGGGCTGACGCCCCGTACTCCGGCGCTCAAAGTCGGCGCGCCGCCTTTGTTTGCCAGAGCGTAGAGTTTTATTTTCCTTTTGTACACCCGGCGTCATTGGGTTAAGGCCAGGGTGATAGGAAAGATGCCACAAGTGCACAAACCTTTGAAGGGTGATTAGACTCATTTGGCATTTAGAAAAGGGCTTTAGCATTATTTCCATCAATAAATAAGCATAGAATGTTAAGTTCATGAGCCATGACTGGAAGAGTACCGGCTCCAGAGAGAGCACCATTTCCATGCTCAGCATCCTATTCCTGGTCACTGTGACTGGCAGCGCAGGTTGTATTACAGAAAATTAACCCATTCGCGCCGGGTGTCACGTATACGTGACATGCCCACTGTGAGTTTACTTGTTTGATTGTTTTACTCATAGATGGCTACACTTGTACTTGAACTGCCTGTCTCGCCCGTTTACCCTTTTCTTTAATTTATGAAAATATTTTACGTTATCTTATTTTGCTGTTACTAATGTTCATAACATTAAAGTAATTATAATATTTATAATAAAAATAACCATCGATATTCATAGCTCTAGTAAAAAATACATTTTCCCGCCAAATGAAATCAGGTAAGGCAGAGCCATCTAGTGTAGAGAAATTTCACAAAAAGTATGAAAAATGAGCACAGCATTTTCCCCCACTTTTTGTTCATTTTTACCCAGCACGAATGGGTTAAACATTACGGAAAAAATTTAAAGATGACACAAACAACAATTTTTTTTTTTAATTATTATACTTGCACTGAGTTATGGATTACCTAGAGAGATGATATGAGTGTCTATTACCATCTACATAAAGCAATCAAATGACAAATATGGACAATGGAAAATAACAAAAAAGCTAAAAACACATATGTATAAAAGAGACAATAACATTGCACAGGCACAGTCTTGTCACCACACACAAGCATCCAGCCTACAAGCCACACACTCATCAGAGCGGCCACTCATGTATGCCTAATGTCCATATTTTGGACCATGTGATTTCCGTGAAGCAACTAGATCCAATGGGTTAATTGTATGCCCCCCACATCTCTGCATTCCCTAAGAAGCAGGAAGCTTCCAGCCTCAATAGAGACCCAGGGGCAGTATTCACAAAAGCACATAGAATTTTCTTTGACAAGATTAAGGACTGTCCTAAAAACAGTCTGCCTCCAAGATTGTCATAGAATTCATCTATGAGTCGGTTTAAAGACTGTCCTTAGCAATTTCATCTGTAGCTTGCATTGTTGCTGAATTTCAAAGTTAAAACTGAACAAGAACTAATATTTCCCTCCTACATTTGTTGCTATTGCATCAGCTGTGAAGGCATATGATGCCATTCGTATCTGTCAAAAAGATAACTGAAATGACTGTTCAAGACATTTTTGTAAAATGTCAGAGACTAAATTGTATAGTCAAAGAATATTCTGTTATAGACTAATCCCAGCTTCTATGACTTTTAGTGAATCCTGCCCCTGTAACATTATCATTGGAATTATCATTATCTACATTATAATTATAAATTATCATCATCATTATCATCATAATCTTAATCATAGGCAACATAAATATCACAACAACCATTACAGTTATTGACAAAATAATAAACATACATCAAAAAGAAAGTTATCTTGTTACTTTTCTTGCATTCAGTTTAGCCTCTGCTGCTCCTCTAAACAAATGATAAGCATCTGCTGTGTATTTTTCAAGACCTGTTCAAAATTATTTTACTTACTTTTAACCCATTGCCAACGGCCATGCCATGCCATGCCCACTGTGGATTTACTTATTTGATTGTTTTTGCACACAGATGGCTACACTTGTACTAAGCCACCAATGGGCCAATTATTATTGCCTGTCTCGCCTGTTCACCCTTTTCTTTAATTTTCGGAAATATTTTACGTTATCTTATTTTGCTTCTACTTATGTTTATAACATTATAGTATTTATAAAGTTTATAATAAAAATAACCCCATCGATATTCATAGCACTAGTAAAAAATACATTTTCCAGCCAGTTCAAGGAAAGGTGAAATCAGGTAAGGCAGAACCATCTATGTGCAGAGACATTTCACAAAAAATATAAAAAATGAGCACTGCATTTTCCCCATTTTTTATTGATTTTCCCCAGTGGCAATGGAGAGAGTAGCAACGTGATTTTCCCATGACAGCATATGCGTCACCCGCCCCTTGAACCAGATTATTTCATGGCGTGATGGTCACGTCACCCGGATCCAAGGGGTTAAGCTTTGGGATCTGGAACCAATATCATCAACGGATCTTCTTCCAGCCAAACCTCAGCAAGCAGCAGCAACACAAGGACTGCCCAGTCCTTTGCCAATTGGGAGCTTCTCCTGCTCCCCATAGGACCCTAATTCACCGACAACACCCAGCCTTAACCCATTGCCGCCGGGGATGGCATGTACGTACATGCCATGCCCACTGTGAGTCAACTTGTTCGATTGTTTTTACACATAGATGGCTACACTTGTACTAAGTAACCAATGAGCCAATTACGAGAACTGCCTGTCTCGCCCGTTCACCCTTTTCATCGATTTATGAAAATTGTTAACATTATCCTAATTTGCTGCCAAAAATAACATCATCTATATTTGTAGCACTAGTAAGAATACGTTTTTTCCCGCCAATTCAAGGAAAGGTGAAATCAGGACTAGCAGAGCCATCTATGGACAGAGATAATTCACAAAAATATAAAAAATGAGTACAGAATTTCCCCCATTTTTTTTTCAATTTCCCTGGCGGCAATGGGTTAACAGTGGGAACTCACATCTACAAAATCCCTCCCCAAAGAGATTAACTACCAGGCATGTAATTGATACATTGCCATCTACCACACCCGAACCAGCCTCATATTTACTGGTATGTAAATTCAAGATCTACAAATATCATCTCATTGCCACCAGGTCGCATGTACGTACATGCCATGGAATGCCTGGACTATATTCCGGGTGGCATGTGCATATGTGCCATGGTGCGCCGGTCCCATTTTCCTGGGGCATGTATGGTCATGCTGCAGATGCTGTGGTGTCAATCCCCTGGCAGCAGGGCCCAGGCCACTAAGAATACAGCCCAGGAGAGAGGGCTTTTGCATCAGGAAAACACCCGGCGGCATTGGGTTAAAGATAAAAATTGGCTATAGTTAATGATGAAAATCTGATACCCATTTACAGCTGAGCAGCAAGGCAAAGACTATTGAATTGTAGTCTTCCAGGATTATTTTGTCAACATGCAGTAACAGTTGCTTAAATCTAAAGATGCTCTTTACATGAGACAACAGTATTATATTTATTTGGTTACTCCACTTAACTAATGCTGATGGGAAAATGCGATGTTCACTGTAGTATTGTTCTGTGAGATGTATCAGCACATTTATGGCTCTTTATTTCCTCTGATGCTATTATTATCAAAGCTATTATTACTATCACTGTTACAGTGTTATCAACAATACTAATGACAATATATAATAAAGTACTTCCAAAAATACAGGAAAAGGGTAAACTGGTGAGGTAGGTCAGACTAGTGATCAACTCATTGGTAACTAAGCACCTGCGGAGCCATCTGTGTGTAAATACAATTAATAAACTAAACTCATTGTGAGCATGGCATGTCTACACATGTAATCCCCAGCAGCTTCAGGTTAATACAAAAGCTTACAAAGTCAACGAAAGGCACAGTTCAGAGGCAAATAAAAAAAAAGTTACTCACCCAAAGAATTCTGATATGAATGTGTAGTATATAAGGGGTGTCAGGAGGGAAAAGTAAGTCCAGGTGGTGGCATTGACTAGGCACAAACCCACAGCAATATGAGCATGGTAGAGGCCACTCCCAATGCTCTGGATTAGGTTAAGACCAGCTAGGAACCCAAGGTACACGTAAAAGGCACGTTTCACTGAAAAGAAATCAAAGTAAGTAATCATAAAGAAGGTCACAAACATTCAAAAAAGCAATTTCAAAATAAATATCCAATATGATAGCTGCTTAGGATGTGATAGCTGCTTATATGTCACTTTATTTCAACAAAACTCCAATAGCCTTACTAAATTTTGATATAGAAAAACAGAAATTGTAAATAATCAAACACAACACTGTTTAGTAGATCCAATAGCATACCTTTTACTTCTTGTTCAAATAAGTTACCTACAGA